TATTTCAAGCTCACTGGGATACATCGTTTCGACATCAGAATGGAAATACATTTACCTACTGTGAATTGATAATAAGTCGTCATCAAATCTAAATTTTGAGTTGAAGGCCACAGCAAGTGTTTTCTTCTTTTCATGTATAGGATTTTGAATACATTCTGCTTTATATGAATACAAAAATATGTCTGCTCATAACGGAGTACAATTGCTATCCACGGGAATTCCGGATCCTGGTCCCCAAACACTTCATACATATTGCAATCAGAAACTTAAGTATCTTTTGAATATCAGAGTAGTTGTGTGTACAATCAGAATGTTTTTCAACAAAATAATTTTTCAAATGACAAGTAAAGTAAATTTATGAGTTTCATTTTCATTGAAAAAACTATTCTTTACATTTTATCGAATATAACAAGATATTCTATGTCTGCTTCATCTTTTACTACTTTTAATTTATTGACTCCTCAATGTATAACATTTGCATGTTACGAGGGCTGTTCGATAAATAATGTCCTCGGTGTTCAGAAAGAAACAAAAACAATAGTCAATGTTTTTATTTTAGTGATTTCCTTCAAAATACTCTCTTCTAACTGAAACACATTTTTGCAACCTTTTTATCCAGTTCCTAAATGCCTTTTTATACATAGTTTGGGGTATGCTCTTCATATTCTGAAATATACCAGATCCTATGGAGTTCCTAAGGTTGTACTTCTTTCCTGAGAGGTGTTTTTTTAACTTTGGAAAAGAAAAATTCACAGGGAGACAGGTCAGGCGAATAAAGTGGGTGTGGTAAAACATTAACCTTTTCCTTCTCTAAAAACTCTTTTACTATACGTGACATGTGTGCTGGCCCGTTGTCATGAAGGAGATTGATGTGACGGATGCCAAACTTTGGTCGCTACCTCTCACACACTCTTAACCTTTTGTAAACTTCTTCTTTGTAGACTCGTCCAGTTATCGAACGACCTTTCCTAATAGGAATCTGAGCCACAAGACCTTTGCTGTTGAAGAAAATACATATAACACTTTCTTAGTGCTTTGGCATATTTTGGCTATCCCTAGGCGCTTCGATCTTTTTGATAATCACATTTTGTTGTTAATTTTTCTTTGGGTTCAAAGTAATGAATCCAGGTTTCATCACCCGTTAGAAGTTCTGACAAACGTCGATCATTGCAGTTTTTAGTTTTTTTTTTCAATAATTGTTTGGATATTCTTACACCTTGTTCTTTTTGTTCATTTGTCAAACGTGCGGTATCCAACGCGCGCTAAGCTTTTTCAGGGCCAATTGTTTCTTCAAAACTGCGTAAACTGTGCCCGAAGATATGCCTACTAACTTAGCTAATTGTCTAACAGTCAATCTACCATCATCAGTAACAAGTTTTTGAATTTTAGCTATCATTGCATCAGATGTTGTTGTTCTTGTTCGACCAGGACGGGACTAAACTTTTACCTCCAGTTTACAATTTTTGATTTTTGATATCCACCTTTTAATTTGTCTATATGACAAACATTGATTTCCATAAACATCACGCACTTCACTAAATATTTCTGTGGGATGCTTACCAAGTAAAACAGCAGCTTTTATGAAGCTTCTTACTTCAGTCTTCTTCAACAATTATTTACTAGTATTTTTACATGCACTGTCTTGAATAGCCTTTGTTTTATAGGTTCTCAAAATTAAACTATATAAAACTATGTAAAACGTGATCACATAACCGGTTGTCAGTTGACTAAAGATCCATTCATGCGTTAAAACATATTTTATCATAATCTGACCCTTATTTTTCATGGAAAATAGTTCAGGGCATTACTCATTAAACAGCCCTCGTATATCGATAAACTGATGTTTATAATCGATCCCTTTGTAAACAATAGAATACTTTCAATCCATACAAAATATGAGACTAAATCCTCCTGACAAAGTCTCTTCCTAATTAATAAGTACTATAAGTAATGGTATGAGAACTCAATAGAAACAAAAGCATGTATATTGTTTTTATTTTGTATTGTTTGTGTAAACCTTTGCTATGTGCAAAACTATAACTATTTGCCTCATTGATAAAATTTAGAAGTCCAGATAGGTTTTGATTATATCGAAATGTTTCATACCTACTTATTAAAACAGTTTGTCATCCATTTTGCAACTAAAGATACGGATAAGCATATACATGTTCTTGATAAATCACACTTTCAATTTCATGGTCTTAGACGACTTATATTCATTACTGCAGGTCTGATTGAAAGCACTTCCAATAATTATTTACAAAGAAAAGACTTTATTCAGATGAAAACTCGCATTCAATTATCTGTTTTGTTGGGCTTGTGGCCTAAAATAAATAAAAAACAATTTAATTCGAAAATTGTCATAAATAGAATATGTACATATGCATATACAATCACATGGGTATAGAAATGTTATATTCACTGAGTATTAAAACATAAAAAACAATTTTATTTATTGCCTAAAAATGTTTTTTGTCGGAAAATGGCGACTTTTCTTTATCAGTTTTCGGTGTTACTTTTGCACTTTTGTTTACAATTGAAATCTGACAAAATGACATATGTTAATACCTGTGTATAAGCAGCAGCAGCAATAATAGTAGTAGTAGTAGTAAAAATACTAGTAAAAAGTAGTGTTATAAGTAGTAGAAGTAGAAATAGCAAAAGTACAAGTAATACCCCCGGTAGTTATACAATCATGTAGTAGTTGCAACATTAGTATTAGTAGTAGCTATTGTTTTTATTGCAGAGGGTTGTAGGAATATACATGTACTTGTAGTAGAAGAAGATGTACATATAGAAGAAGTTGTAGTGGCAATATAAGTAATTATTCTTTTATTATAGACAACAGCTATAAATAAATAAATATTTTCATTACCTAACAGCAATCTGTCTGACTGAAATTATATTTATAAAATCTGGACATCATGTAAAACAATTCAATTTTTAGTTATTTTGTGAGGTACTTAAAGCAATTATATAGGATCAAATAGATAACATGTAGCTGAGATTGCAGAAATGAAAGACATCTTCTATGAATGCTGATTTTAATTAAATGTATGCATAAATACATGTAGATAAATAAAAACCCTTTAGATTTATTCTCTTATATTATTAAGGTGTCTTCATACATGTTAAAGCATAATTCTAATGATTACTGTTTGTTACAATAAATATTTTTACATTTTATATTTCCTCCATTGATTAAAGGTGTGGATTTTATATGAAAATTTGTACAGGGCACAGGCGGATTTAGAGGGGGCAGGAGGCCCTCCTCCTTTTGTGTCCAAAATATTTATAAAATTCAATAGGCTTAAATCTTTTTTTATGTAGATGTGGGCCCCTACCCCGATCCCAAACTGGCCGCACCCTTTTTCTTCAAGATTACTGGATCCGCCACTGCAGGAGCCATATGATAATAGAAAAACAAAATATATGTGCCATATATCTTATAAGAAAGATAATCCGTTCATGAATACTGCGATTTAAAGTTGACACAGACGGACAAGAAATCGGTAAGTTTGTACACATATTCGAAGACATCATCAGGTAGTTAAAAATCTTTCAGAAAAGTAATAGTAAAAATGTATATTAAGTAGAATTTCTAAGGTTTGAGAGAAAGTCCATTCTCTAGATTCTTCATTTATCTTTTTTTGATTTTCACAAAAAAGTGAGTGGGTAAGTGGCGTTTACCTTTATTCTTTAGACTGATGAATCTTTTATATACTAGGACAGATACAGCTGTTCCTATCACCAGAGATACAATAACAACGACGACGATGATGACAATGGTGTTCATATTCACATCAGAGCCTTGAGTCTGCTCATCAAACGTACCATTCACTGTTCAAAAATGTTTAAAAATGAATCGAAGATCATCCTTTACGAGTTTTTAGCTACAATTTGATATTCTGTGAAACACGCGCAGGCGCGCGTAGAGTTTTGTGGAATTGTAAGGGTAACTCAAAATGAAAGAATTCAGAATAACATAACATAATTTTACATCAAAGAACATTACTTTCTCAGGGTCATTCGTCTTTTTTGCCATTGAATCAGTCAAAATCTGAAGGAAATTATTTTAAGGCTTAGAGTAACTTTTGAAATATCTTAACAAATCAACGAATTTTATGATTCATTTTCAACAAGTCTCCAACATCTTTTCAGACATATTAAATTAAAATTTACATGATATACAAAAGTTAAAAATGTATTTGCCAGATATTTTCTTAATTCTATATCTTAATAAATTATGTTTGAGAAAATAAAATGCATGTTACTAACAAATAGCGTTTACTTTTGTTAATATTTTTAAAAAGTTTTCAGGCTTTCAATTTTTTAAAACTTTTTCGACAAGTCTTGATTAAACTTCATACTTAATTATAGGAAAATTAAACTTTCTTTGGAATCTTTACATACCTGAAGTTGTAGGGAAAGATGCATTTTGTCCAGTGGAAGTAATAGTGTCGGTTGTAGAACTGACAGTAGTAGTGGATATATCATTTGTAATAGTAGAAGTATCGGTAGTGGAAATAGGGGTAGCAGCAGTATCAGTAGTGATGGCAGTTTTATCAGTACTAGTAATAGTAGCACTAGTTGTATCAGTAGTAGTGGTATCAGCTGGTCGTGTACATTGGGTGATGGTTGAGAACACATTGTTGTCACACTGATGGGTGGCGAAACTGGTACCCCCTATGTATCTCCCTGTGATGACACCCCCCTGATAATCAGCTTCATCGCTCGGAGGAACATTAACACCTGAAATTAATTACTTCTAAAATTTTATAATATTGTTTTAATGTTGCTTATAAGTTTCTTAATTATGATGATTTTTCGTTTTTCTCTACCTTGGTGCAGTCGGTATCAGCAGACGCAGCGAGTTACCTTGCAATAGACTGATGCTTTTCCAGACTGAATAAATTTTTCAATTTTTTGTACTTTCAATAGGAAAATTTATGGATGGTGCAAAAATGATAATAGACCAATGCTACAAACTTATATAGGTATCAAATTAAGTGAATAACTTTCATACTATCAAAGCAACACTTAAAATTACCTAGAATGAAAATATCCATCGAGGAATTATGCAGCGCTGCTCTTCCATATTCTGTAAAATTAGATCCAGAAGTACCCCCGTATGTAAGTACGACGTAATAATTCATTGAATCATCACGGTCTCCGTTGCCTTGCGTGAAGAAGCTCAACATCGTATACGTGATGGCTTTTTCTACATACCGAAGATTTCTATCATAAGTAGAATTTCCTTGTGTAAGAGCATTTATGGCACTGATCAAGTCAGATGCATTGGAGTACTGGTTTAGCGGAAAGGCGGTTACAGCTCCATCACCGAATGTTACTACTCCTATTCTTATTGCATTATCACCAATAAGCATTTTACTGACAAGAACTTCAAGAGCAGTTTTCATTTCCGTGAACTGAGTAGCGGTAACAGCGATCGTATCATCGATGATAAAGGCTATATCAAGTTTACAAGCTGGAACAGTAAAAAAAAAATTAAAGATACTCAACGTATACTATATATAGTACATTAACACAAAATATGGAAACTTATGAAAAGTCTGTACCTAGACATAATAATCAAAGAAAGAGGGCGTACACGGCGAGAACAATCCCCCGCTCTGAGATAATATTTTTCTGAATTTTCAAAAGTCAGGGAAAAGTAATATTTTTCTAAAAATCTTGTTTTCAGTAATGTCATCTTTAAAACATTTCATTATTTTATTTTACTGAACGACTTATTATTTGACAGTCTTTTTTTTTTCAAAGATGACAGTTAAGTATATTTAGTGGAAAATGGGTTAAGTATAGAGCCACAAATATTGAATTTTGAATATGAATGGGTCAAGTCTCTATTCTTCGTTAACCTTACATGATAGAGACGTAAATGTGAATCTATTTCATTAGTCCCAAAAATGGAATCTGAACCCATTCTATATGAAAATGTCACATTTCTGAAAAAAAAAATGTACGCTTTAACAAACCCGTTCATTTAAATCAATAATACATACATGTATACTTCGTAGCGTAGTGGTTAAAGGTGCATAGACACAGATTTGAAGTTCATATTGTCTGTATAATATACCTACTTTTATACATGTGTATTTTAATAGCATTTCACACAAAAATACAATGAAAATTTTATTTCATCTTAAAGTTAATTTTTGGATGGGTTTGATTGACACATCCTTGCACTCTCACAAATTTTACTTTTATTCTTAAGAAAAATGGGAATCTTGTTGTATATAAATGAAAAAAATATTAAGACCTTTAATCCAGAAAAATTAATTATATTAAGAGAAAAAATGTTAGAAAGCAAAACTTCTACACAAGTATCGTCATTCCGCCCTCAGTGTTGTGTACAGAGTCTAGCGAATTGATCACAACCGTTAAACGTACATACGAGGGTTGTCCTAAAAAGTCGCTGACAGTGTTAATAACTTTTTTAACACGCAACCGATACTAACCAAATTTTGCAGAGACATAATACATTCAATGTTCTTTAAAATTGTGAATTTTTTAAATATATATCTTTCATATCAATTTTATTGGGACGATTTATATGAAGGCCGATATGGTACATCGGCGCACGACCAAAATTCGGAATAATTTACGCATATATCTATTACATTTACTTTTATTTCATTGGTATTATGTAAAAGATTAAACTAAAATTTAAATCACTGAAACCAGAATCAAAATCTTAATAATATGTCAAAATTTCATATAAATAGCATTAGAAACAGATGACTGGTGGCATGATTTTCAAAGTATTGTTCAAATTGAGATTAATGAAAATGGCGTCGACGAACGTGTACCCGAGACATGTCGCATAATATACGTTCCGGGTAACTTGGCGTTCCGGCCGGAACGCTAAATACCTATAATATTGGTTCCGGGCCATAATAAACATTCCGGCCCACGTAAGATTGGTTCCGGCCGTAAAAAACGTTCCGGGCAACCAAGCACCTTATTAAACTCTCTATTTCTATTTAATATTGGCTGTTAATTTTAATTTTCTTCTTTCTTTTATACCTTCGTATATGATACAGCAGGATTTAATCGTAAGACATACATATGTTTACATTTAAGTCAGAATATGCGGTCTTTTTACCAGAGACATTATATATTTATTGATTCTGATTTAAATATTATATTAATCCATGAAATTCCAGTTGATTATTTTGATTCCTTGTAAACAAAAGAAGGTGTGAAACTTGTTTACATTGATATACCCCCATATGCTGTTTTACGACACACTTGGCTTCTATCGATACGAATAATTGCTCAGTCTTGCGAATCGCCGTAAGCACACATGACCACCCTGATCAGATGATAATGGTGATAGATTAATTATATTTACGATAAAATACTTTAATTATTGGGTAATATTTTCATTTCCTTACAATTTTTTAAACACCCATACATGTAGTTGCGTTTTTTTTAAACCAAATATATTAAAATACAAGAACATAATGGGAAACAGTGGATGCCGGTGTAAAGACGAATAATGACCCCCATAGAATAATGACCGGGGGTCATTTTTCGATAGAGAAAAATGACCCCCGGTCAATATTCTACGGCGAAAAATGACCCCCGGTCATTATTCGACGTCGAAAAATGACCCTTTTGCCCGTAGAAAAAGCGTCACCACCCTAAAAATTTGCAGAACCCACGTGAAGAAAAATGAACCCCGTAGAAAAATGACCCCCTGTGGATTAAAGCTGAAATTTTTAGGGGGCATAAAAAAATTAGATAAAGAAGCATTTTCGGCAAAATGCCCACCCGAACTTATTGGGAATATGTTGATCTCATAACATTATACATTTATAGCTATATTTTAAGGTCAATGCGATGATTCACAATCTAAAGGAGTAAAAGATTTATCGAGCCTAAAGGGTTAGGTAAACATTGTTTTTCGATGGTGAAAATCATCATACTGACAGAAAAAATCAGCAGTATTATATATTATTATATCCTCCGCTTGAAAAGCGGGAGGGTATATATATAGTGATCGGAATGTCCGTCCGTCTGTTACGCTTTGGGGTATCCATCTCTAATCCGCAGCTCCTCTTATATATAAAAAGATGTGTTTGTGAAACAACTATGCCCCTGTATGGCAATATAGCGAAGATTAAACTTTTCTTAAATGGAATTTAAAGAGGCTGGGTGGTCGTGGCCATTTTTAGACTATTTTGATCTCCATTAGAAGAAGAGCGCCATATAAAGATATAATAAAATGACCAAATTTTAAAGCTAAAATTTATAAAATTTTTCTTTGCCAAGTGATAGTTGACAGCTTAAGATATCATATCCCAAAATTTAAGTTATCTGGTGGTTAATAAAAAAATTATTAGTTGACCCACTAGCCTCCTTAAGTATATCGGTACCCAACGTAGGGTCTTCTCACAAGAAATACAATTGCAAAATAGTAAAGACCTAGCACCACTTGTTCAAAAGTAATGGTTAAGGATAAGTTTTTTGAAAGGTAGGTCAAACTCAAAGGTCAAAGGGTCAAAGTTAATGGTTTCTTAAGAAAGGTATAATGTAACAAGGATTACATAATTATGTGAAGTATGAAAACCCTAGCCCTTACCGTTCAAAAGTTATGGCCAAGGTTAGTTTTTTTTCATAAGTACGGAAATCTCCAAGGTCAAGGTCAGAAGGTCAAAGTTTTTAGTATCCAATGAAAGGTCATGCCATAAAAAATATATATGTGAAGTATGAGAGTACTAGTATCTACCGTTTAAAAGTTATGGCCAAAATAAAAATTTGGCATTTTTGTGTAAAATGTGACAAACTCCAATGTAAAGGTCAAATTTAGTGGTAACCAAAGTAAGGTCTTGTCACAAGAAATACACATATTCAGTATGAAAGTGATAGCTCCAATAAATGAGAAGTTATGGTAGACAGACAGACAGACATACAGACGGACACGATAAAACTATATACCCCCGAATCTTCAATTACGTGGACATAAAAAGAAATGGTCTTCAATTAACTTTTCATATTATGATACAGTATAAAGAAAAGGTTACAAAAACGAAAATGTTTGTTCTGATTTTCATATTAAATTCTCTGAAAAATATACTCAGAACTGAGTAAAAGGGTAGAGTAAAACAAGAATTAAGAAATGTTATGAATACTGTGTGCTAAATCAAAAGGTTATGTCTAAATGTATAGTTTTCGCATTAGAATGTGTATTTTACACTAGCCCATAGCTTTACAGAGCATATTTTTAGGTGTTATACCCACCCGACCCCCTTACTTATTTAGGAGGAAGTCGATTATCAACGAAAGCAACAAAAAACTACCCTACATTTATTTTTCTATAAGGAGGGACTAAAAATAAGCTTAAAATGATCTACTATTCTACTAATTTTCAACTGTTACTTTACCACAATACTTTCAAGTATACCCCCACCAACATTTAAAGTATGCTTTAATCATGGCGAATTAAATTACGATATGATAGTACTTGTGTGAAGGCTTAACTTCATTTCAATATTTTATCTAAAGCCTTTTTCAGTGTTATTGAAAGGTATAAAGTTTTATTTACTACAGTATGTTTTTGCTTTTCATTCATTATTATTTTTTTTGTTTTGATTTAACGTAATGTTTTTTTTTTTGGGGGGGGGGTATAAAAAGAATATGTATTTGCAAAGATTTAAAATATTTAATCATATAATGATAGCCTACATGTATAGGATGGAACATATTAAAAATATACAGCATCGAGGCGTCCTGTCATCCATTTCTATTTTTACTCAGTCGTCCGAATGAAAACCTTATTAATTCGAACAAATTACTTATTTGTACGCACCGATATTAATTCGTCTGCTAAAAATTTCCACTTTTTCCCAACAAATATTTTTTTTCTGCAAAAAAACGTATCAATGGAGTCAGTTAAGAAAAAATATATATTTAAAATTTCATCTCCAGCGTGCGTTGGATCCATTTACATGTGCCATCTTTGATTTTCTAGGTTTGCTCCTTTATCAGAGAAATGAAGATTAATTGAATGAATTTGAATAGCTCCAAACTAATCTGTCAATATTTCGCCAGAGAGAAATGAGGAACCTTATTACCCCTACGTGCTAAGAAGAACAAAGATCAAATCATAGACCTAAATCGCTTTAGGTCTATGATCAAATTTATTCGAATAAATGCATGAGTTACTCGAAGGAAGAACAATTATAATTTACAGCATATTTTTCCCTTTCATCTGTTATAAATGTTGTATCGCTTTAAAGGGGGTCATATTTCAATGGGGGTCAATTTTTTATAGGACTAACAGATAAAATAATGACCCCTAGGACTCTTTTTCTACAAAAAATGATTTTTTTTTCTACGGGTGGGGGTCATTTTTTGTCGTTGAAAAATGACCCCCCGGTCATTATTCGATGGGGGTCATTATTCGCCTTTACACCGGATCTAATATAAAAAGGGAATTTATCATTTAAGCATTTAATACGA